AGGGGGCTATAAAGTGATATAAATTATAAAGTTTCCCCTAGCACTTCCGTTTAACAAAGGCATCCGGGGAAAGTGAGAAAATCGATGCCCTGCTGCGAGCAGCATTCATATATTCGTCACTTTCCCTCCAATATTAAACATTCTAAATCGGATTGGTGAAATGCTTTCATTTTGTGTTATTATTTTTAGTTTTTTCTTATGATTGATATCATTGCATCCTTCTCAAGGCCTTAAATTTCTCACTTTTAAGAGGCGAATCGCTGGGATCAAAGTTTAAAGTTTACAGTCAGTGTAAACTATGAAGAAGTAATATGTCTAGGAATTTCTGATAAATACCTTTCGATATCCCCATCCACAGCTGGCTAGCTTTCCTTATTCCTATACTCGCAATTTGGGCTCATGCTGCATTTTGTCAAACTAACACATAATTTTGCGGTGCATACGTGGACCGAGCCACAGCCACATCGATGGCTGTAGCTATAGCTATCCCCATAGCCATAGCCATTGCCAGATGGGAGCCAATATGGTCGCATCGGGCACGCACACAACGAAATTGTTTCCTGTTATTATGTAAATTCCTTCATGGCTGCGACCCGCACTCTCTGGCTGCAAGCATGGCATGGAAATAGTTTTCCTTTTGGAGGGCTTCGCATCCCAGAATTGACCTTACCAGAGCAATTAAGCCGCTTAACCCAGGGCTTGACCCTCTCCTCGCTCGAGCCATATTTTTGGTGCCCAGCTTCTCTGGGGTGCATCCCCATAAAAATTGTTAAGCTTCATCCCATCCGCTTGACAACGAAAACGAAGCGAAAATGAAAAATAAAATGGCCAAAAACTTTGGGCTGTTACAGCTGCAGTTTGTCAGTCGTGGCTAAAGCTTCAATTTGTTTCCCTTTCCTTTTTTTTCACCATTTCTCTCTCTCTCATTTTTGTTTTTTTTTTTTTGCTTTTAGCTCGAATCGAGATTTTCATGCATTTTATGTAACGATCCCCGTGCCCCGTGCCCCATGCCCTCCCACACAGGTCTCTGCATCCATAATAGTTGTTCGGGGGTTCGTTCCTATCCGTTCGGTTTGGTGTGCTGTGGTTCGAATTGGTTTGGTTTACGTTTGGTGTTTGGTGTTTGGTGTTTGGCGTTTGGTTATGATTTTTATTAAACGGGGAAACGAGTCAAATTCCCGATCCCCAACACGCGGAGAGCTCTTTTTTATTCATATTTCCCTACATTTCTAGCTCCATCCCACCTCACCACACCCCGCCCACACCCAGCCCGAGTTCCCCATTGATTTGCCTGTTAGTTTTAAGTATGCCAAGCGAAAGGCGAAGCCAAGTCAAGCATCGTTGAAAGGGGACTGCGCCCTGGCGTGTCTCGAGTGTCAGAGTGGTTTGTGAGATCAAAAATTCCATGCTGCTGGATGCACTGTAATTGGTTCGATAATATATACAGCGATTGATTTTTACCCAGCAGTTACCCTCGAGAGGATTTAATGAAAGGAGAGGAGCAGCCGGCAAAGGTAAACGTCACTTCAGGTGACAATTTGTGACCTGGTTGTGGTGGCTTTCGTCTATGTTGGGTTCGTTGTCTTTTGGGCTTTGAGCAAGAAGAAATTGTTGAGGGCAGATGGTGACGGGCTCGTTGTGCGGACAGTTTAAAGTGATGGATGATTATCTGGCGTTGGAGAGAGAGCGAGAGAGAGAGGGAGAGAGGCAACCTTTGCCAGATTTTGTATTCCTGTGTCGCCAAGTCAATTAGTCCAAACACTCTGCCTGTAATTGATCAGTGTAATGGAATGCGAGAAATCAATAAACTCCCCTTGACCGGACCTGGCTGCCCATTCAATTTAATTCACATTTACGGCTCACACAAATTATAGCCTATTTATTATACATGATAGCCACTAATTTCCCCCGACAGACCTCAAGGCTCGGACAAAGCCCAAATAAATGTCAATTTCCCCAAACAATTCGGGCAATCCATTCCATTCCATTCCGGGCATGGGCATTAAGACATTAACAAAAGTTTCAAGCAAAATGAAATGGAAATAATTTTGTTAAAAATTTGCAAGCACATCAGGGCTGCCACGACTTTTCCATGTGGTTATTAAAAGTAAATCAAGTGCACGACCGATTTACGAAGTCCACAGACCCAGGACCCCAGACTAATTAGGCACTTGTGTGTGGGATTTGTCGCATTGTTCGACAGCCCCCACACCGACTCCCGACCACCACTCCGACACCGACACCGACTCCGACCCCAACCCGACCAGACCCTTCGAGTGAAAACATTTTGCTGTTGTGTGATTGTTGTGCGTGCTGGAGATTTTTATCGGTCCCTGTAAGTCGCCAGGACTTGGGTGTGAGTGGGAGGTTGAAGGTCCCCGGATCCTCGCACGCGTACAATGTCGTCTGCGCTGAGTGCACCGGGGTTCGCCTCGATAATGGCAGGTTAATAAACGTTTTTGTGCGACATTGAACGCATGGCGAGACTTTCGAGTACCCCCAAGTGGCAGACGGAACGGTGTGGGCAGTGTTTTTTAGCATGGCTAATGCTCCCCATGCTGGAGCTGACCCAAGGCTCGTGGGACGACTGAACAATGCAATGCATGGCGTTCAGGTATATCAGCGCGTATCACGGTTCAATCGATATTTGAGGAGCAGGTTAAGCTTAAAGCTATTTTCATAGCATTCAAATAATGCACATTTTGATTCCCTTAATAAAGAAAATAAATATTATAGACATACGAGCTCATATGAATATTTTGGAAAAATATTGTCTTCAGTTTGTATGCCCTATACTCCCTATTTACATATCTACGAGTACTAAAAATACCGACGTACCGTATTCAGTACATAAAGTCTATTGTAATCCATTCTTTAACACAACTTAAAGCTGTTTTTATTTTGTCGTCAGCCTGTGTGGAATATAATAAAAACTAAGCCCGGCAGTCACTTGTCACAGCATTCGGGGATAGTCCTGGCCCCACAAATAGATGTGTGCTGCTAGTGGAGAAAATAAATAAAGCCCAAGCCCAAAGGTAGGCAGCACAAAACAAATGCCAGGCACGTTAGCAACATTTATCAAGCGAACACTCGCCCTCACAGATGCCGTGCTAACCAGGAGGAGCCGGCGGACTCTGAGCAAAAGAAGGACAAGGAGGGCAGTGAGACAGCCGTAAGACACGGCTGGGTATGGTTCTTTCGGAGTGACAAAGAGTCGAAAACTTCAGTCACGCGAAAGGATTGAATGTCGTTTGATGTATTCACCGTCATTTAAGTTTCAGTTGATAGAGTGAGCGATAGATGGATATCTATCTCGTATATGGAGGAAAAATCAACCTTCTATCCTCTCCTTCTGCTCGCACTACCACAATCCACAATCCCTCGGAGGGAGGTACAGTCAACGCCTACGTCTGTGGGGTAAATGCATTAAGTGACATATTTTCCCCTTTTATTGACATGTGTCCCGCACGTCTGGTCTCGCAGGCCCAGGACTCATTCAACGTGCGGGCTATGCAGATAAAATTTAAATCTGCGCCGCACGCTCCGGGGTTAAAGGCAGGTGAGGCTGAATGATAGGGTAGGAGAAGCCGCAGCAACTTGTGTGATTTATTGAATAAATCAGTTTGAGAGCGAGTCTCCCCTACTCCTCCGACCCTCCTCTCACTCTTCACCCATCTAACAGATGCTCAAATATTTATATCTACATGTGCAAGTGTGTTTGTGTGCGTGCGGTTTTTGAAATTTATGTTCTCGGTAAATATACTGAAACCTCCAATGGCGGCGAAAGCCGCAAAGACGAGGCAATAAAAATCTGAAGAGTGTGTAAAGCATGGCCAGACGTACATACATATTCGTATATAGTACGAGAATATACATACACGTAGTAGAAGACGCTGACAGAATGAGTTGTTGGCTCGAAGTTTTATGATTTGAATGTGGTCACACTCCAAATGGGATTAGAGAATTATGATGTGGCAAAACTCAAACACAGTGAAACATGAAGAACCGAGATTAGTTTTTTTTTACAATATTTAAAATTGAATCATTCAATACACAGCTTACAAGAATACGTGTTATGTGGTAGCGAAAATAAGGGCCCCAGTAGGTAAATTGTACATACATATGTATGGATCCAGTGGATTTGGATGACAGTTTAATTTGGCATTTTTATTGTTGAATGTCAAGTTAATTTCTTTATGGTATGGTTGGCTTATATTATATTATATTATATTATATTATTAAAAACTTATTAACAGATACACCTCAAACAATTCGTTTTTACCTGCCTTTCACTGGAAATGTTGGAATAAGACATTCCATGGTTTCTAAAAAATAAAAAATCATCTTGTTTTATTGTAAAAATAGGTGTCAAGCCCCAAGCGCACTCGTTTCGCTCGAGCCAACCCTCTAGACCGAGATTTATCAAGCTTTTACGTGCGACACCATTTGGCGGTCAGACATTTCACATATGCTTCGAATAATAAATTGGGCGACGACCCAAAATAAAATATCGGGTGACGACAACCCAAAACTATTTTATATAATAGAGACATATTTTCCATTTTTTAGCTAATTACTGTAAATATTTAAATTGATTTTTAAATCTCATCTCAATTGACGCATTCACCAAATCACATAATTGCCGCTAATTAGCATTCGGTGAGTGAACAAATTCTCACCATCTTCCGTGAAAGGAAATACAATTATCATTAATAAAAATAAATATTGTTTTTATGCAAGCTCCGCTCAATCATAATGGCATTTTAATGTTTTCCCACAAATTTCATTTAATTTTTGGATGTGTTTGCTTGTGTTGCGAATTAATGGAGTGCACTGATTTTGTTTAACATTATGTTGACCTTCCTTTTAATTTGTTAATTTGACCAGAGGCCTTCATTGATTTATTTTATAACCAAAGTGTCGTTCAATATATTTTTTTTTGATTTATGCTCATTTTTATTACTTCAAAAGTTTCCCTGGAAAATGTACATTTCACTTACCTATCGTGATTGCCAGAATGATTGTGGTCAAGGCCATTTGATAGAAAACTTGGGGAAACCGCATGGTGAAAAATTCAATTTTATTTTCTGCAAATAAGAGGAAAAATATGTTCAATTACAGAATAAATTGTAAAGAGGTTTTCTTTAGTAAGAAAAACAATCGCAAGGAATTTCCACAAACAGAAAATATTTTACAACCTTTGCAGGTCAAAACAAAATAATACCGGATTATAAATATTAAACAGTACCATACAAATAAATTAAAGCTATTTTTTAAGTTTTTAAATATTTGATGAAATAATTTATTGCTTAAAGCAGGGATCACAAATAAGACTTATTTATGAGTTTACAAAAATCAAAGCCTTAAAGTGAAAGAAAAAATATTTATTAAATTAAAAATCGAATTTATTAACTTTATATTTCTCAATGCAGAACCAAATGCATTTTCCAAGAAAGAGCACAAAGAAAGGAACTGAAAACTCTTTTTGAATTTTGATACACAAGCTATGTACAAAGAGAAACACTAATAATGGCTCTCCGACAGGGACCCCATACGGTAGACTAGTTCGAAGGTCTCAGTACATTATGTTAATGTTATATTCTAAAATGTTCCGAAGAGTCGGAAGCCTTGTGACTCAAGCCAAAGTCATTTCCAGCCTGTTCCCTTCAGGAACACACTTTCCCGACCAACAATAAAACCAGGAGCAGCAACAATAACACCATCCTACACCGGGGCAGACAACAACATCGGTTCTTAATGCGTCAAACTTTCGCTGCAACACGTACCTCAAGTTGGAAGGGGCCAGGCCCACTGCATTGAACGGGGCAACGTTACCTTGAGGCAGGTGCTCGAAAGTGGGTTTGTTACTCCCACCAGACGTTTCGCTCCTACTCCCACACTCGCTTGCTTACAGCTTTTGGGCAAAATATTGAAAGCAATTTTGTGATCAGAAAGAAAAGAACAAGGAAAAACTCTATAAAGTAATAACTATAAAGAAAACTGCAGCGATTTCCTCGCCGCCCCGCACACACAGCCACATAGCAGACACCAACACTTTGAGTGAAAAGCTTTCGGTTATCAGGAAAGGAAGGAGGCGAGAGGCAAGGGCAGGCAAGTCCTGGCAAACACATTGTTGCCAAACTGCACATCAAATGTTCGGTTGCTCCTCGAGCATGAGTATAACATTTTTCCATAAATTCTTCTCTCTTTTTTGGGGCACATTTAAAGTTGAAAATCGGATTATAATAATCCCCTGGTCAGCCATAACGGTCAACAGGATATGGGAAAAGGATGGGGCTGCGGGGAGCTCTCAGAAGCAACGATGAAGAACTTTAACAAGTTGTAATCTTTTATGGCAGCAAATTGTATTTCTGCATCAAGGCTAAAGCCAAGACAGCACCAGCACCAGGACCAGAACCATCTCGTATTCGGAATCCCATTGTGGTTCCTCACATGGCGCGCAGGGCATGGCCTCCCGGCCGAATGGATATTTGGTGTATACTCCATTAACTTTGCAGAACCTTGGCTTAATTGCATGGGCTTCATTAAGGTCAGAACAAAACTAACCGAAAACAGGAAAAACCAAAAGGGAGAATTGGGTAAAAACTTTTAACTTTTTAATTTATGCATTGACAAACTTAAGCGACCAAATGGGACCTGGACTCTTACTGGGCGACTCGTACCGGGCCAGGCAGAAAGAGAAGGATAGCCGGGCAGCAGGACGGCAGAACAAACAAAGGAGTCAAGTCTGTTCCCAATGCGATAAGCCGCAAAAACTGCACTCTCAGACACTCCTCCGGCAGCAGAGAAAGTTCAGTGGGGCAGACTCTGACTCTCTCTCCCCTACAGCGAGGGTAGCCGGAAAAAAAAACAAACAAAATAGAAAACGTTGACTGGCCATCCCATACCAGTACTTTTTTTAATTGCATCTTCAGCATGCTACTGAGAGAAAGGAACTGATTCTTAAATCGTTCCTTTGACCCGACTTGACCGCCACAAAAAAGGGAAGCTTGCAAAAAGCTGCATCTCGCTCTGAGCTCGTTTCGGGAAGAGCTTAAGAATTGGACTAACTTGTAAACAGGCTTAACGTCCTTTGAGCAAGGTAAGGGGGCTGGGAAAATGATGGACTTGACTTAAGTATTATTCTTAAATTGCTCCTAAGCCGAGATTTATTTTAAGTTAAGGAAGCGATCTTGGTAAAATGTGGTAATATATTTGGGCACGTGAACAATAGTAATTAAAAGCCAATCAATGTTATCTGTAAGCGCATTATAGGAAAACTATAAACCTCACCCTCAACAAAACTATGTAATCATTCATCATTTTGGGAGTAATGTAATTAATTTGAACTCAAAAGTCTGTCGAACTTCACAGAACTAAATCGAAAGCATCTAGTAAAGAGTTGCTTCTTCCAATCAAATAAGTCCGTCTCCCATTGCCGAAAACGATTCCGTTGCAATAAATATGTCCGGTCATTTGTCTCAACTGGCTTGACATCTGCTGCTGTTGATGTTCCGGCATTTCACAGATTGTTCAATTACAAAATAGCTACAAAGCAGCAACAGAACAAAAGGATGACCAAATTGTTGCCTACCAAGATAGATTGCTCGGCATTGAGGGCTAAATCAAAATTGGGTTTCCAGGAGGAGGAGACCTATTAAACCGCTTTAGCACTGAGAGCAAACAACGTGCACCCTCATGCACAGACGCAAATACGGGTAGGTAGGGAAATGAGGCAGGGTTGAGCCAAACTTGTGAAAATTGGTAAACAATTTATGTGGTCAAATAAAATAGCACTGAAGTGGAGCTGGCTAAAAGCGAAGGCTAACGCAGGAGCAGCAGCAGCCCCACCACCACTAGCAGCCGAAGAGCCAGACGCCACAACAGGAACGGAAACAAATTTATGGCTGCTCAAACCAATACCAGAATACTGGCAAAAACTTCAGCCAGCTGAAAATATAAAAATAAAAGATATATGCAATCCGAGCAGCGTCGTAGTCAGAGGGGGACGCCACACTCAGACAACAGACGGATACCAAAAACATCCGATTACTGAAACTGATCCAGGAGACTATCTTTTGTTTAATGTTAGCTAACCAAAACCAGCGAAATTAAATTATTTCTTCGCTGTTGCTGTGGCAGATTACGGCATAGCATGCAACATAGTGAACTCTGTGTTGCTCTTGCTGCATTTTATGTGCATACAAAATATATAAAAAGCATTCAAATATTTAATTTGATATGTTACAAATATCTTAATAACATATCCACTGGATAAATACATTTGACCAAACGATTACCTGAGAGTGTTTTCTGTATCTGTGCTCCCCTCAAAAATTGTCATGCCTACGCCCTTTGCCACATACAATAGCTGAATAGATGCAGATACCACAACCTCAGTAGGAGAAGGATATAAATTACATGCTTAGCTACTCATAGTTCTCGGCTCCAGGCCGCCCTTACTCGTATTCAAAAAGTTTTCGCCTTTTTTCCGTTGCATGGGATTGTTGTTGTAGAGATTATGAAATAAATTTCCACATGCCAAAAAATTTTTGCATCCACAGACCGAGCAACAAATATTTTACGAACTCGTACATATAGGGACCTCCCCGCCTGCACTTTTCGTTGAATGTTGCACTCGAGATGTGCCCCAGCGACTGCAAGTAGGCACACATACTATCCTCAGAATATCCACATACATATCCATGGGAGACAGCCGATGGCCACTGCAGTAACAACAACAGAAGATTTGCATATGAAAATATTTTTCAATCGCCCCACAGGTTTTTCGTGCGCATGTGGCCATGTGTATTTGTTAAGGCGAAGTTTCCTTCGATATGAGTTTTGTTGTGCCAGCAGAAGCAGCGGTGGAAAAGAGAAAAGTTGTACTTCCAGACAGGAGAAAATTTGTAAAGTTTCTTCCGTTTTCAATACATATATATTATCAGAGATAAGAGTTCGAGCTGGAAGTGTAGTGTTAACTGTGGATGTGGATACACTCGATTTTTTGTGGGTTAAGGTTTCTTTCCGAGATGACACATTGCTGCGAAAAATTAAAAAAAATGGTAAAGTCCAAACAAAAGATGGAACTTGATCAATGAATATTGTTTTTCTGTGATTATAATTGAGGAATTCCCCATTACATTATGATTCAGATCTCGATATACTATGAAACTTTAAATCAATGGAAATAATGTTACATAATTCAAAGCTGCATTCAAATTTGGATTTAAAAAACGAACCACCTGCTAAAATAATGTATTAAATTCCTAGTCTCAGTTTATATATTTGTTGATTAATTAATGACTAACTAAATACTGCTGGACTAAGGATAATTGTTCAATGAATTCCAGAAACTAATCCCTAATGGTCGGTATGCTAATTGAATTAATTATAAGCAGTCTTTAATTCAAAGCGCTCTAAGTAGTAAAGTTATCAGATGACGCTTAATAATCATTAATAAGTCATCATTGAATAGAAATCATACCCCAAATGAGTTTACAGTAAATTTCCTGCGAATGCCAATGGAATAATGTATAGATAAACCGACGAATAATTTATTATACATATTCAGTATATAATTTTCATGTTAATAATTGTTTTCATAAGGTATTCCATAAATAACGCTTAAAATTGCAACCGAATCCCATTTAAAAATACATTCTTGATATTCTTGATATCCATAATTAGGTTAACAAATGGCACAGATCTGGAACTGGAATAAAGACCGTCTTGAATATAAATAAATAAATAAGACAATGCATTAAATTCAACCCACACATCCTTTCTTCTTAGACACATTCCCATTCTGTTTGAAATAAATCCCCTTTGAACTAAACGCAAATTAATTATCATACCAAATGGTTCAGGAAACCCCAATAAAGAGTTTCGAATAATTTTCACAAAATATGTATATTCCCACAACGACGTGGCGAAAACTAATTAACGCCCATTCCACAACACCTGCCTCAGCTTCTTGTTGGCATTTTCACGGGAATTTTCCTTAAACCATATACACAAAAAATAAAATCACTCTTTTTCATAAACCACAGCAGACCTAACCCGAAAAAAGATGGGAAATAAAAGACCAGCAGCTACAAGAGAAATGCCTTGCCTGGAGAAGAATGCGACGCCGTTGCAGGTGGCAGTAAAAAATTGTTCAAATTTCCTCAGGTCTCTCGGTGTTTGGGTGAAGAGACCTGGATGGCTGGTTCTGGCGCTCGTCCTGGGGCCGCGGGTCATCCGCAGCCCAGATCGGGGCACAGCTCATTAAACGCTGTCACAGGCTACCTCCTTTCGCCTGCTGTTTTTAAGCCTGTTGCCGTTGTTGTTTTAAGGATAATCCGCAAACGCTGCCGACGACTTAATGCGCCCCTTGGCTGTGCTAAATAGCTTTCATTATTTTACTTTATTCTCACATAAAGCGCACGGAAAACTTTTTTCGGTACCATTTTTACGGCTCCCAGAAAGTGCAACTGAACAGAAACGGAAACAGAAACGGAGGAAAACAGAAGAAAACAGGAGAACCATGATGAGATAGAGAAAAAGAGAAATAAATGTTCCTTCTCTACTGGTTAAGAAATTTGTTTGTTTTTTATGTGGAAAGTCTTTCTGGGGCAGCTTTCGGTGTGGACAGTTTGCTTTAAGGCACCGCCATTTTCCACTCGGCAGTAATAAATCATTTCACATATCAATCAGTCAATCAAATAAATGTTTTTACTACCCCCAATCCCGATGCCCTCCTCTAGCCAGTATTGATTGTCCCACTAAATACAATTTTGCCTAGTCAGGAAAATATGGGGAGAAAGCCAGAGGAAGCGAGGAAAACTCTGCTAGGCATTTGACATATTCCATCAAAAAAAAAGTAGGAAAGTCGAAGAAGCAGTCGAAGAAGCAGAGCCAGCCCAAGACATTGTTGCATACTCGTACTCGTAGTTTCCCAACAACTATGGCAAATGTACCCAATGAGAGAGGAGGCGGGTAGGTTATGTGGAAAAGCACGGGGAGAGGGACACGTTTCGATGCAATTGACAAGTTTTGTTTGCTTTTCGGATAACTTCGGGCACGCCCCTCTGTCTGTCTATCTTTCTCTCTGTCTGGTTTGGATGTGAAAGGTTACCCTGAAATTGGCTGGGCGATTTGATCGAAATTATACATTCCGCATGGATATATATATATTTACACATATACATATATGTACAATAAAATCAGTATACATATCTAATTCTAGCGAGCTCAAAAGCATATCATGTGGAAAATTAATATTTATTATATATATTTCGCTGCTTTAGAGTTCCTTTTAGTAATACTTGACACTGTCCTGTTAATATAGATTTGAAAATTACCATTATAATGTATTATCTAAATTTTAGTACCATCTGATTTAATCTTAAATTGATAAATTCATTTTACGAGACAGTAATAATAATTTTATCAAATGAATTATATTTATGTTTATCAGAATAGTCAAATCTATTGTCCGTTTTGAGCTAGTGAACTTTTTAATCTTTTCTGAAAAAGGCTGCCGCTTTTCCTACTACGAATTCGTTATTCGTTCTAATGGTATTCAAATTGAAGAAACCAGCTTCACCTAATTTTCTAAATAGTTAGCTTCCAATTGGGAAATCAGCTGTATTTGTATGATCCTTTTTTTCTCAATAATGACTAATTTTCATAAGGAATAAAATTCAAAATGATAATTTATAAGAACAAAATGAGGCGCATTAATTTTGCCTATCTCCTAAACTCTCATAATCTTATTTATAATAATGTTATCATTACTGTACTTTATTCATACCTTCAGGTCATATATTTTTTTATAATTTCAGCTTTAGATTGTGTTATTATTTGTTGATCAATAAATTGCGGTTGATAAAAAGTCACTGGTTTTTTTCTTTGTTTCTTAGTTATTTCTGGTTTTCTTTTCTCTGCACAATTTGGCAAACAATTTTGTTTTATGCAATTTTCGGGAGATTTATCCTCAAATCCTTTAAGAGGCAACGAGGCAACGAGGCAACGAGGCGGCAGCCAACGAGCGGGTATCCTGTGTGTGTGTGTGGCCTGGGGGCACGGGGATATCTTTTGCTCTTTTCACTCTCTCTTCCTGTTCTACTCCTTGGGTCCGCTTATTTCTTATCTCATTTCGCGTATCACGGAACTCGTTAAAATCACCTTAGAACACGTGACTGCACAAACAGCCGCACACACACTTGCACGGACACAGGAAGCAACAGCGTCGCACACATATGTATATAGGGGACAGCTATGGTCGATCCCCGGCCGGATCCTGGTGGGTCCTGTGCTTTCTTTTTGGATTTCTGGTCTTTGAATGCAATTTCTGAAGCACAAAATTCTCTGCTGTCTGCGGTCTTTCCGTTCTCTTCAGTTTGGACTGGGACTCGCAATCGGATTCTGGTTCTGGTTTTTATTATTTTTATTCCGTGCCACTCCGACGCACGACGGGAAAAAGCAAGCTCGTAATGGAAAAACAGGATCTACGCACGTCCTCGCGCAAAGGCAACGCAATGTAAACTGCAGCAGCAGACGGCGAGCCCGAGTCGCCTCGCGTAGCATCGAGTCCTAGGCAGAGATTTCGCACGAGTCCGAGTCCCCATATCCTTCGATGGCCTGCGAATGGGGAACCAGAGCACATGAGAACCGAAGCAGGACGAAGCCAAGACGAAGCACGACGAGAGAGCGACCACCGGTGGGGGAGTAAGTAAATAGAGAGACAGAAAGGCAATAAGAGAGAGCAAAGTGTGTCAGTTGCATGAAGGGAGAGTGCCAAATGTGGTGGAAAAGCCAACACCAGCATTGTTTATAGCGACTGATAGCTCTGTTTCCCCTCCGTGGGTTAGGGTAGGTGAGCTCTTTCAGACTGTATGATTATTGTTTACGCGAATAATGAGTGTTATTGCCGTTATTGAGGAAATTTCAAGAAAATCTGACAGGTTTTTTAGTCGATCCCTCGATTTTGTACCTACCGTACCTCCAATAAGAGTTTAACTGAGCTTTATGCTGCCTTGCAGATCTCATTAGTATGGTACGACGAGCGACTTTCATAAGGGGACAGAGCTTGGCGCTGCCGCTGCAGCTATCGTCGCTCGGTAACCACTGAACTGCAGTGCGGCGCATTCGCTTCCTCGGGGTGGCACAGGTAGCGGAGAATCTTTTGTGGCAACCGCAGGGCTGCCGCAGGATATAGTCAATCCAATTGCGTATTACACCACTTGGCAGGCGCCTCAATCAAATGATGGCCAACCACTGGATAGCCACCATTCTCGGACCCTGTTTTCCCTTTTGCTCGCCGAGATGTATTTGCCTGATTAAGGATCGAGCCTGTGTATAGCCTCGTACATAGATATGTATGTACATAAACAGTACAAGTGGGCAGTGATACGGGTAATTGCAAGTCTTCTAATGATGCGCGAAACAAGGTAATATGCAAACCGAATAGTACGGTTTTGTTGATATTTTTTTTAAACAATAGAAAAATAAACAAATACGCAGTTTCAAATTAAGAAAAAATCAACAGACAATTACAAAAAATATTTATTAGTACATATATTTGTCAAAATACATGTAAACCTCTCGGTGGTGGTGTCAATAGTTGATCAATCATTTTATTTTTAAATTTATAAATACATTTATGTATTTACGGCGAAGAAGAAAAAAATCCGATGCGTTGTATGTTCTTTAATGATATCCAAATTGCAAGTGAGTCATGCCTTGAGGTAGATAACGAAGAGCGAGCTTAGAGAGAGCAAGCAAAGCTCACACAAAAATACAAATTTGTAACAAAAAAAGTATGCCGATGTAGGGAAATAATTGGCTGCGATTTGGCAAGCAGCTATTCAGAGGGGTTCTGTTCTGAACAGTTACTATTCCAAGAAAAGCTCCAAGTTCATAAAGAGAAGTTTCTTCTTCTGCTCTTCTCTGACAGAGACTGATATGGGAAGATGTTTATAGACAATCTTTTTGATGATCAGAGACAGATAAGTATTTAAACTGCTTGTTAAACTATTGTTTCCCCTCCCGAGGTTTACTATTAATTCACCACGATTTCCACCCCTCAAAACTGCCTTAAATTTATAAAGGGGAAGTATGTTGGCAGAAAAACTGCTTTCAAGAATAACAATGTTTTGTTTAATGTGTTCATGTAACTGTATTTTATTGATTTACTACCTTGGTTTCTGTAAATTTTTCTCCTTCACATTTCATACGCAACAGAAACATGAACTGCTTGAACTGCTTTATTCAGTGCCCCTCCAGAAGTAAATTAAGAAATTCACCACAGTTCCCCTTCGTGTGCACTGCTTTATACATATGCTGCACAATGTGAATTCTTATTTTAAATCTAGAAATGTATCTGGATGGAAACCAATTCAAAAGAAGGAGTTGATGGCTTTTTATCCCCACAACTAAAAACACATAATATCCTTACTGCATAAAATCAACCATAAAAGCATCGTAAATCTGAATTCCAGTACAATTACATGCAATTATCTTTACAATTCTGGACCAACTTTGATGCATGGCCAGGAATGACCACAGCAGGCGTCTTGCTGGCTGGGAAAAGACTCCCGATTGGGATCCAGCATAATTGTAAATCAAAGTGCCTGCCAAAAAGTTCCAAAAAGCCCACTCGAACCGAGCCTCAAGTGGAGCATCGTACATGTAAATGACCACCAGACAACGGACGAGATGGGCACTGGAATAAGTTCCCATTGGCATTGGCAGAAACACTTACGGCCCCAAAATGTCATAATCATAAAAATTTGCAATTATGCTGATGACCGCAGTACAGCAGCAGCAGCAGCAGAAGCGGCATCCATCCCTACAATTGGAGCAAAACATTTCCAGTTCATTAGCCCAGCCACGCCTTCAGCCCCCAGTCCCCAGCCCCCTGTCTGTTCCTTCCTTTAGATGCAGACACCGCTCCGTGTAGGGACAGCACACATTAGATTTTGTTGCCTCAGGATACGAGTATTTTTCTTGGCAGAGCTTCCTTGAACTCTGCCGACGACGACGACGACGACGACGACGACGATGGGAATAATGCAATACAAATTATGCAGACAACTGGAGACAATAAAGTCATTAGCCCCATCCCGGAGGCCAAGTGGCAATGGGCTCCGCACCATTCACCATCCGAGAAAGGAGTTCAAACTAAGAGTTGGCTTGCAAAAGGGTCCATAATGGACTGGACAATGTAAAATATTTAACACAAAAATGTATCAAAATTGGTTAGATAACCAAGAGATTAAAAAATGCAAGCATCATTTTGGTTCGAAGTTTAGCTGGAAGACCAGCGCAGAATAGCTCAGAAACTATTTAAATTAACTACAAAATTTCCATACCAAAGCGATATATATGATAAATATATTATGTATATTTTTACACAATAAATAAAAATAAAAGATTCATCGTTGCTTTTCCAAGACATCAATTTATTCATATGAAATGTGTGCGCGTGGCAGCTTATTGGATCACTCGATACAGGACAAGTGTTTCCGTTTCTTATTTTTGTATGTGTTTTTGTTTTGTTGTTGTTTCGTTTTCAGCTAATTTACATAAATTCATTTCTTACAATAGGGGGGACTTCGTTTAGTTAGATTTCATAAATAATTCACAATATGTTTTTGTTTGATGTTGTTGGTTGCTATAAATAGTTTCGGAATAAATAAATCGGTTAAAAATAGGTAATTGTGGGTGTTGCAGCAAACTCCCGAATACTCTTTCCGCCCTGAGCCCTCTGCGCACTTTGCAACTTGGAATTTGAGTACAAAAACGAGTATAAGTCAAGGTCAAGGCCAATCTGTGTGTTTGTGTGTGTGTGTGCATTCAAGGGAAAGCTCTGAAAGGTATTCAACATTTTTTTGTTTTAACATTTTCCGGATTGGTCTCCGATCTGTTTTGCTTAGTCTGGAATTACCCAATAAACGAATAGTTTGCATGCAGAAAAAAAAAAAAATAACTAAAGAATAATATGACTAATGGATGATGGTGTGACTGAATAATAAATAGAATTAGGGGGGAGTGGATTGTGGATCATCGATCACCACTGGTTGGAGGGACGGCGCTCTGCGCCTGGTGCCGCACTGCCGGAGAACCGCGGCGATGAGGAGTTCTGCGAGGAGCTGCTGCTGGGCATGCTGCTGCAGGCCGCTTCGTTGGCCAGCAGCGTGTGTATGGCCGCCAGCAGCTTCTTGCGGGCTCCGAATGCCGTGATACCCAGCTCCATTAGATTCTCCTCGGTCAGCGTGGTGAACATTTCCAGATCGATTTCGTTGAGCACGAAAATCTCTGCAAGGACACAAGCACATAGATTGTATTATAGAAACAAGTGGAGGCTGTCTCTAATCCCCATGTAACTTGCCAATAAAATTGCTTACCAGATCATCAATAGGTCTGAATTTTTACTCTTATATATATACATATATCATGGCTTAGACAGCAATATAAACCTCCAATAATTCTTAATTCCCGTATTATCGTATCGAGTGGGTATTTCGTTTGTTTCTCAATTTAAATTGTATCTGTTTTTACTCGCAACAATCTTGAAAGAAGTTCATTTAAGGTGCTGTATTTCTGCATTTCGTATCATTGAATTCTTGACTCTTAAGGACTCTTTCTGATATGCGGATCCGATCATACGAATCCAGTACGTTTAGCATGCATTTTCCACGCCTGTTTATCAAATTTAAACTGATTATCTCTCCCGAAAACTGAGATAAACTACGTGTATCCCGTCCTACATATGGCTACCCCACTCCACCCTATACTCACTGATGTAATGCTCCAGTCCGAGACTTGTGAGCAGTGTCTGGATGTCCTTGTGCTGCGACAGCTGCATCCGGCGGTTCACGGGCGTGGCGTCCAGCAGTCCTGTTGTGGCACTCAGTCCGTACGGAGAGCTGAGTCCGGGCGGAGGTGGGGGCATGCGCCAGCCCTGACCCCCGCCAGCAGCCCCGTTGTCGTCCACAGTCTCGATTGGAGCTGGAGAGGTGCAGCTGAGGCCCATGCCCATCCAGGCCGGAGTGGGGGTGCGCAGCTCCCCCGCCACCGGAGTCCGCTCCATGGCCTTGAAGCCCAGGGCGCGCTTCATGTCAAAGTCGAAGGCGCGATGCGTGGCATGCTGCTGCTGCTGCTGGTGCTGGTGCTTACCGCCTCCGCCGCCTGCCAGGTCGTAGTGCAGGCTGCGATAGCTCTCCGCGCTCCCAGGCAGCAGGTGGGCTCCGCCGCCTCCGGAGTTGCCCAGGCCCAGGAGCACTCCGTCGCTGAGGCGACGCCCGAGACGAGCGGCCCCGCCAATGCTGCCCGCCTCGCTGCTGTAGGTGGAGTCCGGCGAGTAGTGCGCCCGGTTGCCGCAGCCCGTCGAGGAGGTGGAGGACACCGCTCCCTGGAGCTGGGCGTACGGCGGATACGACTGCTCCAAGGAGGTCGTGCTGCTGCTGAAGCTCTGGTAGCCGCTCGTGTTCTGGCTGCAGCTGTTCCTCGGCGAGACATTCATTCCGACCCCGGCGCCCGACGAGGGCGGAGGGGGTGGCTTCAGCATGCCCCCATTGGCAACAGCCCCCGCACCCGCATTAACTGTGCCAGGAACCGGAACCTGCAGATAGTTGTTGTTGTGGTTGGGCACGGGACGTCCTTGGCCCTGCACCTGCCCCTGCACCTGCCCCTGCACCTGTCCCTGCACCTGTCCCTGCACCTGACCCTGCAGCTGCTGGTGCTGGAAGGCGCTGTTATGCAACTGCATGTACTTCTGGGTGGGCGCACAGATGCCGGTGGGCGTGGTCAGGCCACCCACCGCCGCATTGGCGTTGAGCAGCAGATGGTTGTTGTTGGCGTACGGCGTTAGCTGGCCCGTGAGTGCCGGCGGCAGCAGCGACGGCGTCTTGGGACTATCCACGTAGCCGGCCAGAAGGGCCGTCAGCTGTGTGCGGTAGGCCAGATTGAGGTCCTTGTCCTTGGGCATGAAGTAGTGCTCGGGCACTTCCGGCTTTATAACGGGCGTGGCCAGGCGAAGGATCTCCTGGCGCGCCTCGTATATCTTGTCTGCAAAGAGTAAGTGGAATAGAATTAGCAGGATCCGATGCTGATGATCACCTATGATAATGTTGTTTGCAGTAATGACCAGTAATGGAACTACAAATAATATACCGATAATAGACAGATCTTCCTCTGAGGAATTTTGCAATTATTCAGTACTACAATGCTCCACTGATCCACTTTTACGGATCCACTGCAACATTGAATGATAGTATCATCATCAGCACAACTGAAGGATATTTTAGATACCAATAAATAATAGTTCACTGATTCATAAGTGGGTCATAAAATGGAAATCAAATAAAGAAGTTATCCTATCAAAGATTTTGTAGATCTCATCTATAAACTATTCAGAATTCGATACAAGATGTGCATCTGATTTATTTAAAAGGCATATTACATAGAATTAATTTCCACTGACACTCATTTGGTGTAAATTTTGATATTCATACATAGAAGTATCTTTCTTTATTTTAAAAACGATCTATGAAATTATGTGAGAGCAGATAGCTCGTTAATTAAGTGTCGTCTGTATTCAACTGAAACTTCAAAATGATTTCGAGCTGGAAGAGCTCAAAGATTCTTGTAATATGTATATATATATCAAAGGTGATTTATGATCAGCTAATATAAAAAAAAATATTTATGCAATATCTTATAATTAAAAGTGAATACTGCCAACCTTTTTTCGGTCCTAGCCTAAGAGATAGAAGCTCATAAAATTATCTTAAAGAAGGTTGAAAAAGATTATTTCAACATCATAAAAAAAAAAAGTAAAAAGGTGTTAAGAAAGAATCCCTTAAACATTGATTTATAATTAACTGCTCTTTCCAAAGGATACTCCTCTGGAGAGAACATTGGTGTATGACTTATTACTAATTTAAAATCATTCGATATTCCGCTTACCTATGAACTTCTCCACGCCCTTGACCACTATGGCCAGTGTGCTTTGTCGCTGCTTCTGTCGCAGAGTGATGTAGACACCGTACTTGGTATTGAGGCTCATTATTTCGGAGGCATCGTTCTGGTTGTCGGGAAAGTCAAATATCAATGCTACGGGCAAATTGCCAAGCAATTGTTGTCGCGCCTTGTAGACATCGTCGATGCGTCCGCTGATCGTCACCTGCGACTTCTTCAGCGGCTTCACATTCATGTCGCTCAGATCGGGAAATATGATCTTGGTCTGGGTGCGCTCCATGATGCTCAACAGATTCACGTTGTTCTTGCCCTTGACGATCTCATGATGTTGCGGAGAGATCTCCATCTGGACGTTGACGAGGATTTGGCTCTGCAACAATCAAGATCAATCAAGTATAATCAGTCACCGTTCTGCCCTTGCTCAAGTGAAATGGATCAAAACATACCGCGATGCTCTCACAGGCAAAGTTGATCAGCAGCTGAGTGGCGTCACGGACATGGGCCGACTCCTTCTCGGAGCCCTTTACGAGGACCAGCGAGGTGTGCAGCTTGGGCCGTGTTGAGAATATGACCTAGAAGGGGGGCGATCGACGTGGAGTGGTCAGCAAATGAGAGGCACTACGAGTTTCTGGGGATGGACAGACCTGCACATTGAACTTGCTCTCAATCATCTTGATGTACGGCGTATCGTGATCCGGCTGCTGCTTGCTCGGACCCATCACAGGCATCTCGAACGAGATGAGCAATGGGGTGGAGAGACGCACCAAGGCCCGGGCCCGCTCGACACCCTCCAGACTGCCGCACAGCGACACCTGATTGGACTTCTCAGTGGGATTCGAGCGGTTCGAGTCGGGGAAGTGGATGTGGGTGTGAGTGTCGTCCATGATGCGCTTGATATTGTTGCCGCCCCGTCCAATGATGTAGGAGTGGTCCGTGTAGCTGACGTCCATCTTCATGATCACACGAGTGCCCTGCCAAGCGTTAAAGAAAACATTTAGAAGGTTGTAGCTGGTGCCTCATCGCTGCGCTTTAGCTTACCCTCGAGTCGAGGCTGCCCAGTATGCGCTCCTTGGCCCGCTGCACTTGCTCCACTTTGCCCACAATCCGTACATGGGGATCTGGCAAGGGACACACACTTAATACAAAGACACTCCATGGTGGGAAATTCTGTTATATTCTTACCCTTCTTGCTCTTGGCGCCGATCTTGAGTCTGCAAGGCCAGCTTACATACGTATCTGTGGTGTTCATGATCTATTAAAAAATAATTACAATTGGTATTGTCCGTCAAAAATCAGTTTCCCAGGTTCCCCTTAATCATATGCTACTACAAAATTTTGGCGTTATTCACTGCAATGTCGATTTACCAAAAAACCAAAACAACCATTGAAACTTAAAAATTTTGCTCGCACGCTAAAGGTTTTAGATTTTAGTGAAGCTCAGTCATATTATGACATCTAAAGCAAATCCCTTTTAATGAACTCTAGAGTTTCTCTATTTTTTCAAAGAATTCCAAAAGAATGTTAAATGTGAAATCAATTAAATTAAAAATGTGTGCAAATTAAAATTAATTTGGCATATCAATTTAACATTATAAATAAATAAATATATAAATATATGTTTTTAGATTCGGTTTCTGTATGTCATTGATTGCGCTTGAATGGACAATGAGTCAATTGTATTATGACAATGAGTACCCAGTAAAGAGGCTAATAAAGAGGGGCAACGATCTACAATAAATATATTTATGCATTGTATAAAAAATCAAATCGAATAAATCTAAAAAGGGGGCACTGCTAAGGGGATATTTTCAGCCATTTTCTAGAAAATGGTACAGAAATTAAAAGAGTATAATTGCAAGAGGATACAGAAGAAGATACTCAATTCTGTTAGTATACAAGTCTTATCCAAAAGGATCTCAGAAGCTAAGCTACATATTCAATGTAATAGTTTTTTTTAAACTACTGATTGAATATTTCTTCAGTTTAAGATCTTATCTAAAGTAAATCAACTTATTTTCAGGGACTTATTCTATAGATCATAGTTTGAAGTCTCCACTTACATCATGAAAGAAATACTCAGCCCCATTCATGCCATCGACGGCGCTATCCGCTGGAAATATATTACAATTACAATTACAGTGTGTAGGAATTGGAGCTGGGGAGCATTCCGAGCAGGCTTACCCTTTATCAACTGCTCCAATTTCTGTCGATCAACCTTGAAACGTTCCGTGTGCAGATCGTCTGGATTTTGTACGCCCAGCTTCAGTGCAATGGCACGTATGTCGCTCCAATCACTGTCCACCGACGAGATCTCGCTCTGGGTCTCGCTGGGTGCCCCGCTTCCAGCCGAGGTAGCCAATGGCAGGGCCTGCAGACTGGCCAGGGACCCAATGCCGATGGCACCACCGCCATCCACGGCCACGGCGGACGACTTGCCACTGGCCACAGCGGACACTTCTGCGGCCGTGGGGTAAATCAGTTTGTTGAATGAGGCACAGGAGAGCATCGTTCTTGTCGGCGGTTGCTTGTCGGTGTTCGGTGGTCTACCAGAGATTCGAGGGTCAGAGGTCAATAGTTGTGGGTGTGCGTGTTGGTGTGCGTGTGTGGGTGTTTCGAAAAGTCGTTTAGTTTTTAAAACCAATCAAAATGTCCGTCTCAGGGGGGTTTCTAATGGGCTTTCTCCAGTTGGTCGATGCGTTCCTGGTCAGCGATGTGCGATGCGTGCGTGGGGGTTGCGTAATGGAAGGAAATTTTTGTGTTAACTTGGTGTACTGGTGTACTGATGAGGAGAGCTGCGAATGAAATATGAAATGAAAAATATGGAGTGCTAGGTTATTAATTGGAGGAGAAATATATTTATTAAATTAGTTATTGAATAAGTGTGGAGATGTAATAAAAATTAGCATAATAAGCAGACAAACTTAGCCGCTATCTTCGACACATTTCCATTTATTGGGTCTTACAACTTGTTTAAACTTGGATTTTTGGTTAATGGTTGAGGCTCTGTCATAAACAAAATAAATAAATAAATGGTGTATTTATTTCGATTGCAAATTGAAACTAGAACTAAGCTACTCGTTTTTTCTCCTCATTTACCTTTTCTATTTTTTATAAATATCAGATGATATTTTAGCAAACTTCTTTCCAAATTTTCAGCTCTAACTCGTTTTAATTATTTTGTATAATCAGAAAAAAACAGAATCATTAAATAATATATATTCAATTCCCTTTTTTGCAGATTCGCTTGTTTCTGGTGAAGAACCTAACCTCTCAAGACGACTGTGGCAGGCTATGACCTGCCATGAGGTTTGCCTCCTTCCCTTCAGCGAGATCACATAAAACGGAAATGATGTGAAAGCAGCAGACAAGCAGACAGAGGCGGAGAAGAGGCAAAGAACGAACAGAAACAGTAATTTCACTGTCTTTTTGATTTCTTCCATCACTTTCACTCTTTTTGGCGAGACTTACCGAGGGGAGATCGCTCGGGGATCTCTACTTGAGGTTGAACAATCCCTGAAAGTCCAAGCAAATGGCATGCGTTAAGTCCTGGACGAATTGGATGGCCTCCACGAGACAGACGTTCATAACAAAATTACGTATTTGTTGAAATCTCTCGACGAAAGGCATTTAAATTGTGATCTACACAGTGGATCAAAGGTGTATATGTATGTCAGTTTATATATCAGTATATAAATGGTTCGTGTTTGCTTCTGTGTGTACGTGTGTGTGCGTGTTTGATGGTAGGGGACGTGGTTGCGTCAGAATAGATCGTGCGAAACTTAAGCTTTCCTCGGGGCTACCACTTTTAAGTATGACTTCTCGAAGGCAACTGAACGCAGCTCTCGGGAGGGCAAGGCGGCCTGGCCTGGTCTCCCATTAGGGATGTTGGTACATCGATATACCTGGAACGACCACTGGAAATCCTAACTGTATGCGCGATGAATGCGAGTGGGAGAAAATCGCCCGAGCGTTGTTGTTGCTGGGTCAATGAACCGAGAGGAGAGAACCAAAAACAAAACAAAACTCACAAGATCAGAAGATCACAAGAGAGTGTGTGAGAGAGGTTGAGAGCCATTGGAGGCGACAGATCGAACTTTTTCCGAAAGTGGTTGGATTGTTGCCAGCATAGAATATGTAAACATCTGTTATTTGGGATTGGCAATGTAAGTTCTCTTCTCTTCCTTTTCTATGGGAGCAGGTCTGTTAACAGACAGAGCACGGTATGTAAGCTCTCTTCCCATTCAACAGGTGCAGGTTAACAGCCACTGTTAGCTAGCTCCCCTTACAGTCGGACAGAAATGTTGCCCAACATTTTCATTCATTTTGGCGCCAAAAGAAGGAAAGGGAGAGAATGAAATTCGGAGCCTGCTTCCCGCCAAAAACACACGACTTACCGCAAATTGAATTTGGATCGAAGCACAAAAACATAAATAGCTCAATTAATTTACTTAAACACAATCAACTATAAAATCAGATGGACGAATAACACGCTCGTTTCACGTTAAAAAAATATGCATAGTTTTGTTAATTAATTTTAAGCGCAATTAATTTTCCGTCAATTGGTCAAATTAGAGGTCGTAGTGGGATTTGGTTGGCAGTCGAAGTACTTTTTTTTCAATGTAACCCAAAAAAAAAGTCACTGCCGAAGTAAAGTGTGTATGTGTGTGAGTGTGTGGGGAGGAACAGAAACACGTGTGCGGAAAACACAAAAGAAAAAGGGAATGAAAATTGAATGAAAAGCGAAAATGAATTGTTGTCCAAATTGAGGTGGTGGTCGGTCCGAAAGTCAAGTCAGGGAATTGTACAACGCGCTCTAGTGATTGGTATTATATGCCATCGATTTTCAACTATTATTTAGGCAATGCGACAGAGTCTCGTAGTAAGTGCTGGGCGTGCTGTTGTCGTCATTGAAGCGCGTTGACTGAAGCTCAGCCTTGGTCCATGTCCCAACTGACCTTCACCTGAAAGCTCCCCTACGCTGAACAGCAGAGAGAGAGTGTGCGGCCAGAGCGGCTCTCGATCCATCCAGCAGAGTGTGTGTGTGTGCGCATCAGAAAGAACTGCATACACCAAGAGCTTTGCCGGATATCATAACGGCTCTGGCGAAAGCTTTTGATTTAGTTACTAAAGTTTAGTACATACATAATATGTATTACATATGTACTTCTTAAACGATCATGCAGCTGCATTCTAGATTTCGTGACAGTTTACTGAATATTTATGTATTTCAGTATTTCGTTTCACAACAAGACAGAACATACGGTAAGTGCATACGGTTCAAATAGCCGCTGACATCCCACAAAACAGTAATTTAACAGTATTCAGATTTAATCGAGGTGTGCAGCAGCACTTTCATCCATCCAAAACTAAAACTACGAATATTTGTAGGATATTTTCAAGGATATCCATTTGAAACAAAACTGTACTGAGGTTTCATTCATGAATTCCATTAAAAAAAGCTCCGCCATTTATAGTTTCACCAAACGCTAATTTAATCCATGTATATTAATTTACATATGTATGTATATCAATTCATATAATATGATATATGTACGTATACATGTAAATACATTTTTTAGATGACTTTATTTTGCGTAAGATACGAGTATTTAATGAAATGGATATTTTTGTCGAATAAACCATTTTAATTCCCACATTTTAACATTTTCAAAGAATCATTTTTAAAAATTAATTTGTATTGTACTATTTCTAAAAATTGTTAAAATGTTTTCAATTTTTTAAATAAAAATCAGAAAAAAGTCTTGTGTTTAATGTTGTTAATAGTAATCAAAAGTTTATTCTTATTTATTAATTTGTATTATAAAATTATAAGTCTCACGGTCCCTGATTTTAACAACAACGTTCTTTACCAATAAACAAAGATCTAAAATTTATAAATTGTTTTAGTTCTGCTACATAGAACAGAGATGAAATAGCAACGGAGGCACCTGTCGACAAGAGGAGCTTTCCTGTGAAAGTCGGTTGGACATGGACTTAGAGAGTTGTTAATATTTATGAAAATCGTGTACTCTCAAAATATCTGTATATTGATATATATCATGAATTGTCATCCAATAAGGTGTCTGAGATAGCACTTGGAGTTCTACCTGATTTTTGCATTGAAAAGAAAATTGTAAAAGAAAGCTTTCTCCAGAGAACATACATATGTATGTAGCATGTTATAGTAGAGCTTTCCAGCTGTGAGTACGCCGCTTGCCCGCCTGATGTCGCTGCAATCCTTTGGAAGAACAGTGAGAATGTAAAGTAATCACACCACACATCACGTTATTAAATATTTATTGTTGTTTATTTATATATGTATATATATATTCTGCCTGCTTATTGTTCAAACAAATGCCATACATACATATGCGTACATATATGTATGTACTATTAATATACTCCATTCCTGCGTTCAAATTACTTTTTACAATAATACTTTTTGAAATCATTACATCATGTTGGTTTGTGTCTGCTCTATTGATTAGGGTCTATTTTATTTGCTCGCTGCGTTCTTGCATCACTGTTACTCGTATGGTTACTTAGGGCTTTAGGTCGTCTCTAGACTTATGTTGGCTTTACACGTTTTCGGTTATTGATTCGGATATGAATATTTTATATTCAATGCAAACGCATTTGCTTTACCATTTACTTAAATTTGGTTACTAATATTAAAAACCTAGAACTAGTTTTCCGGGCTTATCAGATAACAACATTTATTTTTTGGCTGTATTTAACTTTTCTTCCTCGCTCATTTGAAAAACATCGAAATGAAGATACATTTACTCCAGCAATAATCGTATGTCTATGTACACTAAATTTAATTATTTTTTACAATCTTTTTTGCCTCCTCTTTTATGATTATGTTGCATTACATAACCGAAACCATATAAGAACTTAGGGTAAAAATGGAATTTACCAACAATTTATTGAGCAGAGAATGTAAATTAGGGAAGACAACTTTCACAACACGTTTTGATTAGAGAAATCTGATCGCATGCATTCCACATAAATATGTATATATTTTATTGTATTTTAACATTTACATATCCTGAAGTTTAATTCCTCTCCAGAGTAAATTTTAATCCATACTCGTAGTTACTATATATGTATGTACAAATGTAGGCTTAGTTTAAATCAATTATTATTTTCTTATTTGTTATACGTGTAAGTTAGTTTCTAGATGCTTCCCTAAGGGGTTTCCATTTAATTTACAACATTTTCGGTACTTTTTTTTGTTTACCAATTACATGAACATTGATTTATTTTCAAGGCAAAGGAACTATTTACCGCTGGATTTTTGTTGGCCAAAAATTTTCAAATAATCTTCATATTTCTTTGATTTTATATATTGCCAAATAATAAGTTGAAACTCAATTTTATTTTAGTATTCTTGTGTTCTATTTTTTTTCTTCTACAAATCAATTTGTATCATTTCATAATTAATTTCGCTTTTTTCCAAACCCGTAAAAAGTTCCTTTCTATACAGTGTTTCTATTATATCATATGTATCATATTTAAGCTAACAACTTCAATGTTTGCAGTTTCTAAAACATCTATTTACATAATGAATAATCCCACAAAGAAAGCAACTCATTTTGTTTGTCTTGCTTTGAAAGCGATATTCTGCGTGCCTGTGTGACACCTGCCATTCATTCTACAGACCGACTGAGAGAAAATTTATTTTCATACCTGGAAAATCGAGCAAATTTGATTAATAAAACCCACTTTAACAATAGTCTTATCTCCATCTTAGTAGATTGCTTACCCATAAGGCTTATGTGGCCGTGCTCTTCCTATTGTCTAAGAGAGTCAGCAACTGGTGTCACACAGGCTTTGACAGCATTGTCTAATCGGCGGATGAAGCTTACGAAAGATCTCCCTAAAACTCACTAGAGTTCTGCTCTCGAAAGCTAAGATCAAGTGCAGTCTAAAGTTCAACTGGCTGTACAACGTGTGGCTTTCGGTTTCGTTCTACTTGTTATTGCTTTTCTTCGTTTTACAGTCCAACTTCGCTATCTGGAGACTCCATTCGGATGAATGTATGGAAATGGGAATGGTAATGGTATGGTAATTCGATTTTAGTTCGAGTTAGCATTATTCCACGGAATAATGTATTCTCACCAAATTCAAGCTAGCGAAGTTTGACTGTAGTGCTGTTGTTTTGTGAGTATGCATGTTTAATATTCGACTTGGGATCACAACACACAAAATCATAAGAACGGTAAATGATGTTGGTTCCTCTTCGATCTGCTTTTGTTGTTGGTTTGGCTATTCTTGCTCTGTGCCTCTCTCTCTCCCCCTCTCTACGGAATTCAAGCTTTCGAAGCTTTTCTACAATCTTTATTTGCTGATAATAGTGCAGCGGAGTTCTGCTCAAATTCTGCAAATAAAACCATCCACTGAATCTTGAACTGAGTGTAATAATTACATTTAAACAACTGCAATTTGTAGATTCAATCCTACATACATACATATTACTACTATAATAAAGCATATCGGCTTTCACGCAGCAGGTGAGGGTGTTCCAGCAATCAGTAGAAAGTTCTCAAAGTGTCCAAGCAATGATCTAAGGGATTGCTGTAGTTGTTTTTTATAAATTTAAATTTAGATCTATTTAAATACTAATTCAAACAAGCATTTCTCTCGAACTGTTGGGTTGTGCTTGGGAATTTGTATACTATTTTACCGATTTTATCCTCTAGGTATATGCATATTACATACACCTTTCCATATTACAATAATACATATAAGACTATATATTTCCTGTTATTATTCAATGATTCCTTGAAGGTCTCCCCGTTCTGGCTATACTTAATTATTCTCGCTCCTTCTCCGGCCCTGACCTTATGCATAACACTTACGAACTAAAGCAGCGTCCCAGCCATACAGCCATCCAGCTGGCGATTCCAATTAATATTCATATATATTAATTATTTCCTCCGACTTTTCACTTTGTCGGGCAGGGAAATATTGGTTGGGTGGGGACTGGGTGACAGGGAGACAGGGAGAAGGGGAGAGAGAGGCTTCACTGTAGCACAAGTGGGCAAACACCTTAAGCTACTTTTGGAAATGGATTTCATCATCAATTCGACATCAGCAAGAGAGGCAGTTGGAGCCCTCCAAAACGGGCGTCCACATCTTTCGTCGTCGAGTCATCAATAATCGTTGATCCAGCCAGGGCCGTGCCACGCCCACAAGTGTCGCTGACAGTCGCTTAACGCCAACTCCAGATGGCGCTGTTGCAGCTGCCTTTCCTTTTCCCTGTCCTTTTGCCTTTGCCATTCCCGCTGCAGTTGCAGTTAAATCATCGCCGGCATTTGCCACACTTGCAACATTCGCGTCATCATCGTCTCCCTCCACAGTCCCATCCCGAATCCCATTGCCATCATCCTTCTTCTTCTCCGGGATTTTCATGCGGGGATGGGGACTGTGTGTTGCCATTGCCATTGCCATTTGACAATTATAAAAGCATTTGACGCTCGCTCTAGCTGCGGATGCTGCCGCCTTTGACATTGTCACAGCCTCCGTTTCGACTCCGGGCGACTGTTGCTGTTGCGGCTGCTGCTGCTGCTGCCCCATCGCTGTTCCTGTCGCTGTTGCTGTCGATTTCTTTGTGTATTGACAGTTGATAATTTGATGGGCCAGCAGCCCTAGCAGACACAAAAGAGCTGTTCCCCGTCCCGTTGCTGGCGTAATCCAGGCACCGAGTGCGTCCCACGGCCACGCCCCCACCAACTGCCTGTTGATGTGGAGTCTGATCCGAAGTGCTGCCCCGAGCTTCGATGGCCAGACGTGCCAAAAGATTTCATGTGCAGCTGTCGATGCGCCCGATGCACTATTATCCGCTGAAAAGAGACAGACAGACAGGCAGCTATGAGAGAGATGGATAGACTGGATAGACTGGATGGAGTCAGAGGGAAAGACAGAGATGGTGATGGTTTAGAACGTTTTTTGGTCGTTCGCTTTCGATTCCTTTGTGAAATGGGATTTACAATTTTCCAGGCTGACAAATTCTTGATAGAGAATGTCTAATGGCTACCCCAATGAAAGGAAGATTTTAGTATCGATCGATGGGGATACGATACCAATATCATATCATATCATTTATCAAATTCGACCTCATACCTTCGTGGAGGTATTTTAGCTGAGACTGGTAAATTATTTGTTTTAGTTATTGCAAGTGAAACTTCCTTAGATTCCTCTAAAAAGATTTATCTTTGCCTTAAAAATCAATTTATTCGATTTTAAAATTGTTTTCATTGGTGGCTATTTACCCGAGGGATCCCTTCTGGCTGCGACTCGCATGCAAATTCATGGGAATCATCCGCCTTCGCTGGACGATCTCCAAGTTGGTGGAGTGCCTGCATTTTGTCGTTGTGGGGCACACAACATACATATATAAATTATGTAAATAAAATTGTGCAGCATAAACATTTTGTGGGCTGCCACCGCACCGCACCGGAGGAAGCCACTGAGGCGGAGCAGGCTTATCGAATCAAATGGTGGGCAAATCAAATTGATATAAACTAAGTTTAGACATGAAAGATTGTCGCTGGATTGTGGCAGACTGTGCAGGACGGAAGCGATGATTGGGGCCTGCGGCATGGTGGAGTGGAGTGTGCGCCAAAGAATTTTTCCGCTCTTCCTGCTTTTCCGCTATTTTCCTTTGCGGTTTCCCTTGGCTGGGAGAAGGGAATGTGTTGCCACTCACTTGAGGCAACATTTACTTAACACCAAGCATCAACACCAAGAATAACATGAATGTAAGCGCATTGAGCTGAAAATTGTATTTAAAATTGAGTTCAGTTTGCGACTGATGGCGGCGGGATGGACTCGGGCGGGAAGCGCAACATCAACGTGCGCATTCGGGTGTGCAACATTCTTTTGGATGCAGCGCCCGAGGAGAACTCCAAAGCGGAACTGGAGCTGATGGAGTGGGAAGATTGGATGTGCCGATTCCAGAGTGCAAACTGGAGTCTCCTAACTTTATGCAAATGCATTTTTGACACACACCCCCAACCTACACGAAACCACTCGAGCCGCCGTCTGGCTGAGTACTTAGGGCTGTATATATGCGATATATTCCCAATGTTTGCCATTGAAGATTGCTGAAATTCAGCCGTGGGAAGACTCCTGTGCAATGAATGCGATTCAGGCGCACAGGAAAAAAGCTAATACACAAATGCAAAATAATAAAACTTAGAACAAAAATTCAATTAATATACAAATTTATGTAAAATATGAAATGAATACTTTGAATATTTAAAATATTAATTTATTTAGGAAAAAGTGCAGAATGATCTTAAAGTTTGAAATAACTATGTTTAGTTATGTTTTATGAATTGGCTCGAATTTTAAACAGCATCTATATAGTTTTACTGTTTCTTGAACTGCCGAGATCAAAGGACTAGATGATTTTAAAATCATAAGATCCTTTTAATTCACTGAGATCATAAAATTAAATTAAATACATAGGTGGGATTCCAGTCAAATGTAATCGCTAAATGATAAACCTCAAATGAAATTCTTTCATCAAGGGGTAATAGCAAATTATTTATTTTAATTGGTCATTCGATTGCTTACCCGAGTAGTATGTCAAATATGATTCATTGTGATCCTCGAAGCCTCTCTCGCCATTCGTATGCTCATCGAGGGGATAGTTGTTGATATCGTACGACCTGCCGGAGGCCATTATCCTGGGTCTGTCCTCCTCAATCACACTCTCCATTTCCTCCTTGAAGATGTCAAAGATATTGGCCGTGCACTTGAGCTAACAACCAGAAAGGAAGAAACTTTATTAGAGTCTGAACAGAACCAATTTGCGAATGTGGCTTGCTTGGGTCCTGCTCTTACCCTCATCTGACCCTTGAGAAAATGCTGAGTGGTGACCATGAAATGTATGGCACTTGTAACCGATTCCAGTGTGGTGTTCTCCTGCTTCTCAATCTGATACGTCTTGATGTGATGCGGTGGCACCTATGTGAAAGCACAAGGAGAAGAATGTCAAGTGCGATTCAAACGTGCAGATGCTCCAATTTCCAACAAAATCAATTTATAAATATTTATCAATGGGACAGCTGCGCCTCTTCGATACTGCGACTGACCCCCAATGAAGTGTGCCCCACAACATGAAATATGAAAAGGAGAACTATCCCAAAAGCCGACACTTCTCCTCCCGCCCAAAAAATAAGGGAAACCATGCCACAGCACAGGCAAATTTATAACTTATGAATGATGAATAGATTTACGCTTGAGTGATTAACTAGAGCAGAGAGCCCAGAACTATGGTGCTGGGGATGGGGATGGGCATGTAGATGGAAGGACGATGATGATGGTGTATCACCATGATGGGGAGGCGCCAAAGGACATGGCAGCGCTGTGCTGAAGACGAGGCCACTTTGTTTGCGGTGAGTTTAGTTTGAAGTGGCTCTGCAGATACCGTGCCTGACCCGACCAGCCACCTAGCCATCTATCCACCCATCTATCCACCCATCCATCCACCCACAACTGACAGCACACATGATGGCCTGGTGGTGCCGAGGGAACGGAGAGTGGTGCTCCTGTTGAAATGCGCTCGTTAGCTAAAAGATCAAGTGGCCGCACCCACCGCATGGTGTAGGCAACACTTAAGTGTTGTTTGTCTTAGTTTGTGTATGTATGTATGTACATATATCTATCTATACAAATGTATATTTTTTAGCTGTTTGCAGGTTCTCAAAATGATTAAATCTTAAATTAAAATTCAGACGTTTCGCTTGCGTTTAAGAGTTTTTTTTGTGGTAGTTTTTGTTGTGTTTCCGTGGGAACGTGGTGTATAAATTGTTTTGCAAATATGTATTATAATTTTTTTTTAATATAATTACGTATATAAATAATATTATTTCTAGTTCGGTAATTGGGTACAGACCGCACGAGAATTCGTGCGCACAATTAAATAGATAATAAAAATCATACAAGTCTGATTTATTGGTGTTATTGGTGTTAACCACAATTCGATCGGAACTATATCGGATCGGGCTAGGAATGCCTTCTGCCCAATTCATTTGAGGCATTAAATGGGAACAATACTGCCTCAATCTAACGATATGAATATATATAAACGAAATTAAATTGTTAAAATTTTGCTGTAATGCGCTGTGTTATTCGTCTTAATTTTCTCAGAGACTATCGTACAAAGAAAAAAATAAAAATATATTTTTACAAAATTACTGCTAAATTAATTTATTTACAAATCCATCAATTAAATAAAATACAAAATTTATATCGAATACAATACTTTGTTGAACATTTATGATCTTTAAGAGCTTGTCAACATTTTGCTTAAAATGGTTCACTCCTAACTTAATTTTCCAGGGAGTCAATCGGTAAACCAAACCAACCTACAACACCCAAAACGTTCCCAAACTCTTCCAAAACACCAACACAGAGAGGCCACAAATATGAGTTATGACTGGAGGCGGGGTTTTGACATTGACAACGCATTTACTATACTCCAGCTGCCAGCTAACCCTCGTCGCCCCTCTTACGAAGGGCAACAATAACACTTCCCTCAGCCGAAAGTCTGGGGAGCTCGTAATGCCCTGGGCGGAGGAACTTCACAGCTCTGGCCCATAAAAACGAGACGAAACGCAAAGGAAAAACTAGCTGACAACCTAAACGTTTCTTGAAAAACCAAACGCAAAATGCCGGGACATGTCAGCCTTGTCTGCACCCCGTTCCCCGATCCGCAGCCACTCCACGGACACTGCTACTCCTCTCCAGACACCTGTGCGCAATCATGCGAAGCGGCCTGACAGCAGCTGGGCGAGGCCTGGCAGGAGTCAGTGTGACCTCCTGTTGGAGTCGACGGCTGTGGTTGCGGCCATAAAACATCCAGCGCAGCAAGGGCGAAAGGCATAAAAACTGACGGCCCATCAAAAAATATACATATATATCTGAATGGGGAGAGACAGCCAGAGGGCGGCAGAGAGCGAGGGGGTACGAATCTAGGCAAATAAGAAAGACGAGTACGAAGAATTGAAACACCCACAAAAATTCACTCGCACAGGTGCCAAAAAGTGGCAACAAACGAGAAATGAAAAATCGCACACTAAACGCCAAAATCTTGGGAAAACATTGCTAAACTTTCCATTTGGTATGTAAATATATTTTTCAGTGACTATAGAAATTGATCTTTTGATTATCAAGGAAAACAGTGGGGAATATAAGTATTTGTATTCGAATTATAATTCATTCGAAGGAAAATTCTCTTGATTTAAATGTCTTCAAATGGTAGAATTTGCAACGACACCAAACAAGTAACAATTAAGTAGTTTTAAAATAGTTTTTGTTATGGATAAATTGTAAACCAAGCTCCACTACGAATAATTAAATCCAGCATCCTCCCATTCAGTTCATCAATCTGTCTTACATGCAAGCAGTGCTTAACGAGTTTTACCTGTAAGTACCCCCCATACGATACCCCACTCGAATAGCAGACCAAACGAAAGTATCGGCACACACCAATTTGGCCCCAGCGCTTTGGCCAATGACTAATTGAAAAACTGCCTGCCATCAATTGAAACCGATCAACCCGTTCGCACGCTCACTTTCCTTTGCCGTCTAATTGAAGGGAATGGGCGAAATAGGCGTGTCCAGCAGCGGATAGCAGTGGTAAACGAAACCAAAACTTACCACAATACCATTAATAGTCCATGTCAAATTAGCAGCCGGTTTCGAGTATTTAATTGAGCAATTGCCATCGACCAAATCGCCGATGCGATAGCGCGCCTGTATCCCGGTGACCACGGTGTGCTCTTCCGGTAGCTCTGCAAAGAGTGTAAAGGAGCGGGTTGCAGGGGGGAGTGAGACAAGGAACGGAAATGTAAAATTTGCTTTTGGCGCCAAAAGAGGAGAGAACAGAATCCAAAGCCACCCAGTGCAAGCCTCCAACACGTTTGTTCTAATTAATTTGCTTGCCACGGCCGCAATTTCTGGTTCCCTTCTCTTTCCGGCTCCTCGTGCACTTTTTAACCCTATACATATTTTGATTGCATATCCCTTTATGGGTGTATGGGGCTTTTTTTACTTACCAACCACCTCCATTTCGCCGGACACCATGGCGGTCTGGAACGTGGGGGCCTCCACGGATATTTCGCATGTAAATTTGCCCGAAATATTCAACGGCACCGACTGCAGCACGACATGACTTTGATTCGAAAGGTTCCGCTATGTAAGGGAAAGAGAGAAAGAGAGAGAGAGAAAGAAGGGTTAAAGAAAATGGTGGAGGTATGGGAAGGAAAGGTACGTGAAAGGAAATGAAACACGTAATAAAAATTAGTTGGGCAAAAATTGGCTGGACGCGGAGCATAGAAATTGAATATAACCCACCTGCCAGGGCAAAAGTGAAAAGAAACGAAAGAAAAAAATGAATTTTGTCTTGGTTATGAATGGCAAAGTGAACAGCAAGGTGGGGCAGGTTGCGGGGTGGTTCGGGAGGTCCTGCCTAGCTCATGAAAAGTGACTGCAAATTGAGGGTATAAAGGTGAAGAGTTGAATTTAAGGCTGAGGGGGTCATCTGCCTTTGATTAAGATTTGCTTTGAGTCAAAGTGATTTGACTCGTGGCCATAAGTGGGGGCTATCTCACGGTCGAAGGGCTTAATCCTCTTCAGAGAATGGCCCTTTACATTTCGAATGGTGCTTGATCTAACCTCTGCAAAAAATGTATCCCAAATAATTAATTAATTGATAGAAGGTTCGCAGAATTGTTATAAATACCCCTTTATATTCTGCATGTGGAGTCTGAACCCCAAACCACTATCATATTAATTTTGATTATACGCTTACCCACAATTTGTGTTGTGCGTACCCGTATCCACTTGAGCTCTGGCATACTCGTATTTGCGTACATATTTATTTGGCATTTTTCGTACGTGGAATTTAATCTTTGTCGGGGAAAATGACGAAACCTCATATGGCAATTCACTTAATAAAAATCAAATATAATAAATTGCATTTAGCATGGGGTTTAATATGCCGTCACACATGCATACATGTGTACATATATGTCACACTTGCAGGAGAGTCAGTGGTGTGGGTGGAGCAGGATCATTCGCCGCTGAAGTTCGTTCGGCTGTTTAACCCAATTTGCTGGCGCCGATACCTAATTGGCTCGTGTGCATTTCCACGTAATAATTAAACTTTAAAAACACTCTCATTATAGGGTATAGCAGAGGGAATGCAAAAACATGAAATATCAAATATCTGACAGTATACAAAATATATTTCAGTACTAGAGTGGCGTAGCTGAATGTAAACCCCTCTTACAGTGCGAAACGATTATCGAAAATGCCAATTTAAATTATCTCTAGGATCAACAATTGAATCTCACAGGGTATTTTGAAGTTGGATCTTTAACCCTTCACTGATTGGCCATATTTGTCGCTGGTCCTTTATGCAATCTGTATATATATTGTTTTTTAATGAGCCGCAAGTCAATCGCAAGCGCGACTAATTGGCCACGCCCAGCAACTTTAACGGATTCGTCTACGGATGGACTGGCATAATTACAACGAGCAGTGGGCCAAAAGTAAGGGAAAATGCTGTTATGGCAGTGGGTGGAGAGATGCTGGCAATCAGCCATTATGGATATAATTTACACGCATCTGCAGTAACATGTGCTCTTTATGGAGGCGACGGAGCGGGATTCAGGAGGTATGGTTTCCATGTGGTACTCACCTCAACATTGAGACCACTTGTCATGGCGAAGACCTTCATGGCCGGATTCTCCTTGGGCGTGTAGCGATAAAACTCACGCTTGCCCTTATACCATTTCACCGAATATAGAGTATCGTTTTCCATATCGTAATTACACGTGAACAGGGCGTTGCTGCCACGTTTCACTGCCTGTGGTATCATTACGGAGACATCCTTGAGTGCCGCAATAAAATCTGCAAATAAAATGAGTCACACTGTAAGTTAAAGATACTTATAGGAAAGGTGATGCTTATAAAGGTTACCAATTCCACATAGTCTGTGCTCTTTAATTTTTATATACATGCAGATAAATCTATCGTTTCTTAAACAAGATTTAAAGTATCGTAAAATATTTAAATACGATTAAATATGACCAGAGCAGAGGCTGGACAGCATGTGATTTGAATGTCAAGCTGAATTTTCCATTGGTTCCCCCTCAATTGCCATGGAAAATTAGAATACCTTTTGTTCTCATATTGTGACAGACTCTCAGTTCAAATGGGACAAATGGGAATGGAGCTCAAGTAGGTTGTTCAAATAAATGCCTGCAAATAATTAACCAAAACGGAAAGCTTTGCAGTTTTAGTTTCGCATTAGTTACATTCCTCATGGTCCTTCCAGGCAATGAAGCCGCCTGCAAAAAGCCAAGTAAAGCCGTTGCCAGTGTAGGTGTGCACACAAGTCGGTGGGACGAAACTTGTAAAAATCAGTATTATTTTACACATCTGTGCAGACGACACTGAAGGGGGAATTGTGGACGTTTGCCGTTTGGTATCCAGTCCCCATCCATATGGGGATATGTAAGCACTCCAAGTATCCCGACCCAAACAAGCGAAGGCCGAAGAGTGACAGGTATTCGATTATTATTGCAACTGACGACAAGAACTATGTGATGGAATACACATGCATCGATACCGGAATTCAGCCCAGGAGTAAGTAGAAATCCCCCTACACAGTACAGCAATCGAATACACTATTTTGCAGTTGAGACTGTGGTGTATACCAAAAAACAAAAGCTTAGGCCCGCCGTCATCAAGGAAATTGAGTCGGCCCACACTGAAGTCGGCTTGGATAAGGCTAAAATCTGGTATTGTATTTATCAGAAAATATAATAAAATCTCCTTTGGACAAAACTTTCCACATTTCAATTAGTGGCGTATTTTTATTATTTTCTGCCAAACCAATTTCGTGATGGTGCAATAACAACATTGACCTTAACTAAAGGGGAGAGCCCAGACCCACTGCACTGAGCAGAAAAGGTACTTTTCTCCACAGACAAAACCCCACCCTCGAGCACCCAAGCTGACCACCTCCACAAGAATCCAATTGGATGCTAACTACTATTCCAACCATCCCTTTGAAAAGCGAACGAGCATCTGACCTGACCGCCAGCTTCCGTTGTTGTGCCCCCTTCCGTTCGCCACTGCTTCATATGACAACACAAAATGTTGCAACAAAGTGCCAGCCGAACTGGTCATCTATTTCCCTCTCATTCTCGTTTTTCCTTTTGTTTTTCTCTGGGTGTTCCCCTCTCATTTGGATGCTCTGTTCAGTCGGTTCGAGTGCGGCATGATGAAGCAATATCTAGATTTCGTGGGCTGACTAGGAACACACACATTTATTTTGTGCCAATGATCGTTCAGTGTGCGATCTTTGCCAATCGATTGGCGTCATGGATTTAAAAATGATTTCCTTCATTACAATTAATGTTTGTAGACACAGCATAAACGCCTGCTAAAGTCTCTAATTTATTTTATTATATTATATCATTAATATTTATTATTATATTATATATTATATTATTATTATTTCTTTTATTATTATTATATTATAATATTATATATTATATTATTATTATATTCCTTTAATCCACATTATCATTGGTTTAAATCTTAGATTCTTCAAACGCATTCAAACATTTTATTCACTTTTTTTTTTTACAGGATATTTCGCCATCGAACCCTTAAGATTCCTCCCAACTATTTTTTTGTTGAAACTTTCTTCAATGCCATGCTTTTTTCAGATTTTGTTGCATTTTGTTTTTCTGATTCTACCTTTGCACAATGCTTTTGTTTCCCATATTGACCCATATAACGAGCGAGCATTTTGTTGTTGCGTCTTTTTCTGCCCCACCCGATGTGGCTGCATTTATCGCAACGTTGGGGGACCAGTAACCAGGGGGGAGGGGAGGAGAAAAATTGTCCTTCAGCAGCACATTGTTGTTTAGCAGTGACCTCCCAATCCGAAGCCCTACCATCCTACACTCCATTCCAATCCAGCAAACAACCACAACCGTCCATGGCATTTTATTTTGTTATAAAAAACTTTTACAATCTACGTTTGTTAAGTATTTTAACGGCTTTCTCTAGGTAGATGTGTGTCCGCGTCCCCCTCTGCGCGTGTAATGTAAACCAATGAAAATAGCAGGGGCAACTCTCCGTATCATTCAGCTGCCCAGTGGGTGCTGAGGTGAGGTGAGGTGCTGCGGCCAGGTAAAGTTCCATGTCTGCTTTCGTTGTTTATCTGTCAGTTTATGTTTACAAATGTCCACTTTTAATGGTTCACCATTTAGCTAGAGGGATGCCCGACCCGAACAGAGCTGAAATAAAGTGCAGTGTATTGGGCAAGGGTGACACAGAGGGTCACCACAGTCAAGGCACGGGGGGAATGGCCAGTCTTATCATACTCGTACTCCATTGCAGTTAAGTTATATTGTAGGTGCGATTTTCTGTCCCAGCTTCTAATGTTTTTCCCATCCTTTTCATAAATGTTGTCATGACTTTGAGAAGCCATTGTAATGCCTCCAGAAGGGTCTCAGGCTCGAAAAAAAAGTAAGAATATGTTGCAATTGGAGAAGCTAAGTGCTAAGTTTTGAGTGTCTGTCTCTCTCTCTGTGAAAGTATTTTTAGATCTCCGCTGAACTGTGCTGGATTCTGAAGAACGAGTATTTGACTTTTTGAACAACAATAACTGCATCCATTTTATATTCGCTAATCAGCATCAGTGCACTCTCTCTCTCCCTCTGTCTCTCTTTCTCTCTCTATCACTGAGCAGCTTATCAGGAAAGAGTGACTGGCATGTACTCAAAGAGTGCGCACAGTAAGAGAAAATATAATTAATATCATTGTTTTCATTCGCATTATTTAATAATTCCGAATTTTTGGAATTTATCCAATCTAATCCCCGCATATTCAAAAATTAAATGTTCTGATTTACTGGCATTATTGCGTTGTTTCGAGTTCGTTTTTGGCGAAGCCACTGACCTGCCACAGAGTAAATATTTGCAATAAAACTTTACAGACAAAATGCATATCATTTGGGCGCATTAAAAGCTGATCAAAAGTTAAGCAGCCAAACAAAGTACCAGGCCAGACATCGCAGACAAACAAACATTCAGTGGGGCTAGGAGCTGGGGTTGGAAATGGGAATGGGAATGGGAGGGTGTCAAATGAAGGTCTCCACTGAGTTGCCTCGTAAGTGGTCCATTGCCACGCTTAAGCGAGGCCCCCCAAAAAATGTATATAAATATATATGGGGAGGGCGGCAGACTCAAAGCAGACTCCAGACCAAGGCGCGACCACAGAACTCGACCAGAAAAGAGCGGCAGAACGGGAAAGCAGCAACCAACTGATGACGATGACGACGATGGGAGTTGTAGCTGACACGGCTGTCAGCATGTAGCCAGAACTCGACCATCACCGTCACCACCTCTCGCCTTTCGCCTGTCTCGTTTTGCAGTCATTTCAACTTTGGAATTTCAATAAGAGCCTCTGTCTCGGCGAGCGAAAATGCCGCAGGTGGTAGGCATACGAGTACACAGTCCACAAGGCGGAGAACGGCACGGAAGGCAAACCATCCAAAAAGTAAATACATAAATTAAAAGTGTAAGGGCGAAAAATGTTTAATGCGTGAGTGGATGTGTCGGGATGGAGTCAAATGGAATGGATCAGCTGGAGGGGATTCAATGAGGAGGTGCGAGACTTGTAATGGACCAAGTGGGAATAACTTCGATGTCTTGAATGCGGGGCTGTAGCTTCACTTGAAATGTTATTGTTACAAAGCGAAAAAAGGGAGCTGAATTTGAGAAATATTTATAAATGGATTCGCCATCAACGTCTAACGTCATTTTGGGAGATGGATTTTGGAATTTAAAAGTGACTGCATAAAAAATGAATGATCATCACTTGTTCTTGCCGCCTATCAGTCGGTAATTAAGACAATATACAAGTCAAAGAAAATTGGCTAAGCAATCTGTAAACATTCTAAGGTCCATTGAACCTTACCCCAAAATCATTCTCGATGGGTCCAATACCCACTTGCAAAAGTCTAGTCACAAAATGGGCGGTCTAAGCATTCGTTTTTTTCAACCAAACCTAACTAACCAATTTTTTGTTCTACCCCTAGAAGCACACTCTGGCTGGGTCCCGTTTTTCCCACCCTCTTTCCGGCCATGTTGTTCAATATTTTTTGGTTTATTTTTAAACAATTTTTTATCATCAGCTGTCAATAGTTCAGGCAGCTGACCCGCCAAAAAGGAGCAGCCAGAAAGCAGAGATGGAGAGAGGGAAATCATTACATAAAAATGTTTTATGTTTCGCTATTGGAACTTTGACCAGGCAACAGCCAGAGAGAGGAGTATTTTCTGTATGTTGTTGGTGCTGTTGTATAGCACGCTTCCTGGGCTTGGAAGTAGTCCAAACTTTCACGTATAAATATATTTTTGATGCCGATTTTTGCTGCTTTTTGGTTTGTTTCTTTTTTTATTTGCTTGCCATAAAAACTAAAAAATCGCCAAATAGAAATAAACGCATTTTTATATGTATCTGTATTTATGAACCTCATAAATATGTCAAATAAATTACGAAACAGTCAAAATATTGTGCCCCGTTTGCCCAGCTCGTGTGTGCGAACTCGTCTATGACTATGGGCCAATATTTTCCTTCATTTTTGGAATACTTCTCCGTTCTGGTTGTTACGATTTGTTGAACACATTTATGGGGGTTCGGTTTACTATGAGAAATACGCTTAGGATTTTTTTTTAGCTATGTGTTCAGTTCGATTTAGAAAGTGAAAAAATGATAAAAGCAAAATCGTTCATATTCAATTTGATTTAAATGGATAAATAATTGCCATTTATAATTTGTTTGCTTTTTATCCAAGTTATAAACACAAATTGTACCATAAATTATGGAAATTTATCAGCCTTAGAATAATTAGGTTTGAGCAAAAATAATAATTCAATATTCACTAAAACATATAAGCAAATTATCCTTTTTCCTCCTCAATTTTTTAAATAGAACGGGTGGGTCGTGGTCTGCACAATTCTAAGAGTGTCGCACATTTAACGAGGATTTGATAATATTATGTTCAAAGTCAAAAACCGGCACAACGCAGAACTTGAAAATTGTCCGCTAATTTGGGTATTTCTTTCAGTTTCGGTTTTGGGTTTTGTTTTAATGTTATGGTTGTATTTTGTTTTTGGAGTGTCATAAAACTTTGCCGCAAACATTTCGCTCTCTGCGCCGCAATGCAAAAACAAACACAGATGCAAAAACTCAGCCCGCAGACGATTTCATTATGGAAAAAAAAACACTCACATAATGAGTATCCAGAGAGGGCGGGCGAGGGCAAGGCTTAGAGATGAGGGCAACCGAAAATAGCCGACCCACTCACACTCCATGCAGGGGAAACCAAAAACAGAGTTTCGCAGTTTGCTGCATACCCAAAAATGTTTGTCACTGCACTGCAAAGCACTCACACAGATACTCACACACACAATGCACTCACGCACACAAAGGAAAATGGCACTTTGTGGTGTTTTCAAAAATGGGGAAAATGGTTTGGGGCCTGGCGTGTCTGTGTGTGTGATTTTGGAGGGGGGCGAAGGCGAACCGCTCAGCGCTGGGGCTATTAAATAAACATGCAAATTATTGCGCAATTTTTGATTACGATTTTTCAACAAGGGGAGGCATCACCCCCCAAGAGCAGCATCGCAGCTCTCTGCTGCATATTTGTATATGTAAATCGGCATCAGGCGCAGCCACCAACCCAACCAACCAGACCCATTGTATCGGGATCGCGCTCGTCCTCCCCTGCAATCTTTGCATGCATTCAACGCCTATTTTGCATACAAATTTTATTATTATTG